TGTCACTGTCCCCTCTCAGGTCCAGTGGGGAATGCCCCTGGAATATGCCTGTGACGAGAGCAATCTCGCCACATTGCATTGGAGAAGCCTGGTTGCTCGCCTGCTGCCTTTGGATTATGGTCCCATGTTAAAAGACTTTGTTTCCCCTGCAGAAAAGACTTATTCGTGCTTTTCTGCCCGGTGTTCGGTAGATTCAATCTACCGAACAACCGCACGAATGACTAGACCACCTGGGAGCTGGAGTGTGCCGGCAATTAGCATCCCAGAAGCTGCGGTTAACCGCAGCTTAATTGACGAATACTGGGTGGCCGCCATTCGTATAACGAACACGAGGTCGCGGCCATTTTAAACACGTGAACGCACAGTGGTGTTCGACGCCTAACTCATGGAACTAAAAACGGACATAGTTTGGCGCGAACACCGCTGAAGCCGCCGACCTCCCTTCTTGTTCGGTGAAAGTTCACGAACGGCCCGGTGTTCGGTAGTTGTACCTGACTGCACTATACCCCAGATAGGAATCCCATGGAGCTCATTCATATGAGAACTGACTTTGTAAAGACTTTGGCTCCATGGCGATTAAACTGTATACGTGTGGTCTGAGCGCCATTCGCTTAATAATGTGCGCTCAGACCTGAGCTATCTAGGGATATGTTAAATGTATAGTTTTATTGTAACTTATGTCATATAGTGTATTTTAATAGTAAGTCATGTATTGGTATCCCCATGTGCATAATGGCGATTTGCCTTTGTCCTGGGAGATAATTAAATTACTTCTCCATTATCTCCAGGGCAGAGGGGAGGAAGCCAGGATGCATTGTGGGAATATAATGTGACTGTGTGTCCTGTTTGGCTGAATGTCTGTCTTTTGTCACAGTCTCCCATTTGGTCCCGTAAGGGAGTGTCCACCAGGTGGGAGACCTACATAAATACTGGGCAGATAGCCCTCATTAAACAGACCACTGCTTGACCCTCAACACGGAGCCTTGTCTCGTCTTTGGGGGGATTTACTGAATGCTGATAGAGACTGACTGCTAGGAGTGTAAGCCGCTTGGATGCTTTTCCTATTCGTCTGCTAGCAGCGATTCGTATGGTTCCAGTTCGTGAGTTTGGAGTGTTACATTGTATGCCGTTCGGGAGTTTGGAGCATTCCCTTACATGCGGTTTGTGAGTTTGGTGTTCTACAATAGCTTTGCCTTCATCTCTGAAAGGGGACGATCGCTTAAACGGTAGTTTAACCCTTTTATGCCTGGGGGTGCCGTTACAATGCCAATGTAAACCCTGTACATTTGTAACTGCATATAAACTGGGTGGTTAGCCTGAATAAACCATTCCTGTTATACCCTTCATCTAGTCTAGGCTGATGTTTGGGTATCCGTCTGATTTGCTTGGGGAATACACTTGGATGCTGTACTTTGTCTGGAGAACATTTGAATCAACACCCGAACTGCGAGCTATAAACACTCAGCCTTTAGCAGTTCTGGAGGAAACAGACAAATGGTTATCTGCTTTACCAGCATTCGTTACAATCCCCTATCAATCAGCAAGATTTCTGGCTCCCAGGTGTCTTTTATACAGGTAACACGCTGAGTTACAGGGAGTGCTCCTAATCTCAGCTCGTTACCGGTATAAAAGACACCTGTCCACACAAACAATCAGATTCCAAACTCTCCACCATGGCCAAGATCAAAGAGCTGTCCAAGGATGCCAGGGACAAGATTGTAGACCTACAGAAGGCTGGAATGGGCTACAAGACCATCGCCAAGCAGCTTGGTGAAAAGATAACAGTTGGTGCGATTATTTGCAAATGGAAGAAACACAAAATAATTGTCAGTCTCCCTCGGTCTGGTGCTCCATGCAAGATCTCAGCTCATGGAGTTTCAATGATCATAAGAATGGTGAAGAATCCGCCCAGAGCTACACGGGAGGATCTTGTTAATGATCTCAAGGCAGCTGGGACCATAGTCACCAAGAAAACAATTGGTAACCACACTACGGTGTAAAGGACTGAAATACTGCAGCGCCCGCAAGGTCCCCCTGCTCAAGAAAGCACATGTACAGGCCCATCTGAAGTTTGGCAATGAACATCTGAATGATTCAGAGGAGAACTGGGTGAAAGTGTTGTGGTCAGATGAGACCAAAATGTAGCTCTTTGGCATCAACTCAACTCGCCGTGTTTGGAGGAGGAGGAGGAATGCTGCCTATGACCCTAAGAACACCAACCTCTCTGTTAAACATGGAGGTGGAAACCTTATACTTTGGGGTTTTTCTGCTAAGGGAACCGGACAACTGCATCAAAGGGATGATGGACCATCAAATCTTGGGAAAGAACCTCCTTCCCTCACCCAGGGCATTGAAATTGGGTTGTGGATGGGTATTCCAGCATGACAATGACCCAAAACACACAGCCAAGGCTACAAAGAAGTGGTTCAAGAAGAAGCACATTTAGGTCCTGGAGTGGCCTAGCCAGTCTCCAGATCTCAATCCCATAGAAAATCTGTGGAGGGAGCTGAAGGTTCGAGTTGCCGAACATCAGCCTGGAAACCTCATTAGACTTGGAGAGGATCTGCAAAGAGGAGTGGGACAAAATCCCTCCTGAGCAGTGGCCTCGCTAGGGGGGGGGGAGGGGGCAGAGGGGGCCATGGCCCCCCTACATCATGCTGTGCCCCCCCAAGTGCCGGCAACTTGCTGGCCATGTGCTTACATTCTATTCCCTCGGACTGTAACAGTGTGTGAGTGTGTGACAGCCCGAGGGAGGGAATGCAGGACTGAGGAGCTGGAACGGTGCTGGGTGTTTTCAGCAGCTTCACTGGCACAGGCCCCGCCTCCCGCAAATAAGCCCCACCCCCGCCGTTAAGCAGCAGACCATGCTGCTGCTGGAAAGGCCAGAAGATGGCTGTCTGACCCCCAGCAACAGCCTCCAGTGACAGGTAGGCTTGATATGTGTCTGTGTGTGTGTCTGTTAGTGAGGAAGTGTGTGTGTCTGTGCTAGTGAGGAAGCTTGTATGTGTATGGATTCAGCAGTCTGTGTGTATGGACTCAGCAGTGTGTGTGTGTGTGTATGGACTCAGCAGTCTGTCTCTATGTGTGTATGGACTCAGCAGTCTGTGTGTGTGTGTGTGTGTGTGTGTATGGACTCAGCAGTTTGTGTGTGCGTATGTACTCAGCAGTCTGTGTGTGCGTATGGACTCAGCAGTCTGTGTCTGTGTGTGTATGCAATCAGCAGTCTGTGTGTTTGTATGGACTCAGCAGTCTGTGTGTGTGTGTGTGTGTAAGGACTCAGTAGTGTGTGTGTGTGGACTGAGCAGTGTGTATGTGTGTGCGTATGGACAAAGCAGTCTCTGTGTCTGTGTGTGTATGGACTCAGCAGTCTGTGTGTGCGTATTGGCTCAGCAGTCTCTGTGTCTGTGTGTGTGTGTGTATGGACTCAGCAATCTGTGTGTGTATGGACTCAGCAGTCTGTGTGTGTGTGTATGAACTCAGCAGTCTGTGTGTGTGTGTGTGGACTCAGCAATATGTGTGTGTATGGACTCAGCGGTCTATGTGTGTATGGACTCAGCAGTCTGTGTGTGTGTATGGACTCAGCAGTCTGTATGTGTGTATGTATGGGCTCAGCAGTCTGTGTGTGTGTGTATAGACTCAGCAATCTATGTGTCTGTGTGTATGTATGTACTCAGCAGTCTGTGTATGTGTGTGTGTGTGTTTGGACTCAGCAGTCTCTGTGTGTGTGTGTATGGACTCAGCAGTCTATGTGTCTGTGTGTGTGTAAGGACTCAGCAGTGTGTGTATGTATGGACTCAGCAGTCTGTGTCTGTGTTTGTATGGACTCAGCAGTCTGTGTCTGTGTTTGTATGGACTCAGCAGTCTGTGTCTGTGTGTGTATGGACTCATCAGTCTGTGTCTGTGTGTGTATGCACTCAGAAGTCTGTGTGTGTATGCACTCAGTAGTCTGTGTATGGACTCAGCAGTCTGTGTGTGTGTGTATGGACTCAACAGTCTGTGTGTGCGTATGGATTCAGCAGTCTCTGTGTATGTGTGTATGGACTCAGCAGTGTGTGTATGGATTCAGCAGTATGTGTGTATGGACTCAGCAGTCTGTGTGTGTATGGAATCAGCAGTCTGTGTATGTGTGTGTATGGACTCAGCAGTCTGTGTCTGTGTTTGTATGGACTCAGCAGTCTGTGTCTGTGTGTGTATGCACTCAGCAGTCTGTGTGTGTATGCACTCAGTAGTCTGTGTATGGACTCAGCAGTCTGTGTGTGTGTATGGACTCAGCAGTCTGTGTGTGCGTATGGATTCAGCAGTCTCTGTGTATGTGTGTATGGACTCAGCAGTGTGTGTGTATGGATTCATCAGTATGTGTGTATGGACTCAGCAGTCTGTGTGTGTATGGAATCAGCAGTCTGTGTATGTGTGCGTATGGACTCAGCAGTCTGTGTGTGTATGGAATCAGCAGTCTGTGTATGTGTGTGTATGGACTCAGCAGTCTGTGTGTGTATGGAATCAGCTGTCTGTGTATGTGTGTGTATGGACTCAGAAGTCTGTGTGTGTGTATGGACTCAGCAGTCTGTGTGTGTGGACTCAGCAATATGTGTGTGTACGGAATCAGCAGTCTGTGTGTGTATGGACTCAGCAGTTTGTATGTGTGTATGGGCTCAGTAATATGTGTGTGTATGGACGCAGCAGTCTATGTGTGTGTATGGACTCAGCAGTCGATATGTGTGTATGGACTCAGGTTAATCGGCGGATTGCGAAGTTTGTAACTGGGGTTGGGGGAATCTCGATACGGCACCAGGTTTTTGAAAAAGATGCGGCACATTTTTTTCGACCGGATGGGGTGCATCTGACGGAGGTCGGGCTCGACCTGTTTAACTTGGTGCTTCAAGAAGCTTTGGAACAGGCCAGGGGGGGTTTCGGTGGGGGCCCCAGCTGTTTTAGGCTTAATGGCGTGGCATATCCTTGCCAAATAAGGGATGGTAGATTAGATGAAAAGGGGGATAATGGCCAGGTCTCATCCCCCCCCCGTCTCTTATGGTGAACCTGGAGGAGGTACCAGGTTGGACGTGTCCCCGCTGGGTTGTAAGTCGACCGGTGGGGAGCATTATGGTTGGGCCCCACCAAGCAGAAAACCGGCTGGTGGGGAGCCCTGAAAAGGAAGAGGTTTTATTATGCCGAGGGGGGGAGGTGAGAGCCTTGGGGAAGTTAGATTGGCAAGGACGGTTTTCTTGATTACTGTATGACTGTATAAAAAGTGTTTATGTTAATTTATTATGTTATATGTTTAAGGAGTTATACAGTATTTGGTTGTGTTAATAAATGCTGTGGCCTGTTTTCCCAAGAAGTTGTCTGTCGTTATTTGAAGGGGTAAGTTATGGTTTTTTTTATGGAGGGATGAGGGGAATGCTATCCAATGCCCACTACGTACATACAAGTGAATGAGTGAGTGTGCTGTATCTTGTATGCTGTATATGTATTCTGTTAAATCCCCTACAGTGCTGTGTAACTCCTCTATATCCCGTATATATTCCTGTATATCCCTATATATTCCTCTATATCCCCTATATATTTCAGGATATCCCTATATATTCCTGTATATGCCCTATATATTTCAGTATATCCCCTATATACTCTGGTATACCCCAATATTACAATATATGCCCTATATATTTCGGTATATCCCCTATATATTTCAGTATATCCCTTATATATTCCTGTATACCCCAATATTACCATATATGCCCTATATATTCCTGTATATCCCCTATATATTTCTACATATCCCCTATATATTCCTGTATATCCCCTGTATATTTCTACATATCCCCTATATATTCCTGTATATCCCCTATATATTCCTGTATATCCCCTATATATTCCTGTATATCCACTACTATTTCTACATATCATCAATATATTCCTGTATATCCCCTGTATATTCCTGTATATCCCTTATATATTTCCCCCTATATATCCCCAATATATTCCTGTATATCCCCTATATATCCCTCCTACATATCCCAAATATATTCCTGTATTTCCCCTATTTATCCCTGTGGCTAAACCAACCTCGCCACAAAGCATTGGAGAAGCCTGGTGTTCGGTAGATTCAATCTACCGAACAAACAACCGAATGACTGGACCACCTGTATTGGGAGTGTGTCGGCAATTTACCTCCCTGAAGCTGCGGTTATCCGCAGCTTAATTGACGAATGCTGGGTGGCCTTTGGATGATTGCCGAACACGTGGCGGCGGCCATTTTAAAGTCCCGAACGGCCAGCGGTGTTCAACGCCC